ATCCCACCTGGGAGTGATAAACACAGTCAATCCACAAGTTTACCAACGCCAGAAGACCACTGCGAAGAGAAACCGGACGGCCCACTTCACCCCACCAACACTCCCATCACCACCAATACCTCCCCCACGCCAAAAAAAAAAACTCAGGATTGAAGGCCATCACGGTTAACTCACCATCAGAGTCCGAAGTGTCTGAAGAACTCGAACAGTAAAAATCTGAATAGCTCAGGTTTGAAGGCCACCAAGCAGGCGGTATCTTATATAGCCCTATGTCTTCAAATATGGCGTCCCACACGCCATCCCTTATCAGGCGACCATCCTCTGGGTGGTATCTACCTAAGCGGTTCTCTGTAGACTCGTAATACATACGACGATGGAAAGATTTGGAGATGGGAGGAATTTGACCGTAAGGCTTTCGAGGGGCGACCGAAGAATGGCTAGGGCGGAAATAATACTCTAAGGGACGGTTCTGACGCAGGCGATTAATGTTGGATACCGGTCGAATAAGTCCCCCGGCCCCAAGCTCAGAACGCCGCGAAATGCAACGATGAGAAGCAATTCGTGAATTTCGCGAATCACCAGATGACCTAAAATGATCCCTCAGTGAAGAGGAAAGGCTGGCCCCCTCGATTGTCTCTCCTGAACGCCCGCCTGGTCTATAATTTCCCTCCCCAACTGCTTCACGGCGTCCACTATGAGGGTTAGAACAAGACGCCTTGCCAACATAAGGGAGGACAGGCCCTAAAGCTCTCTCGGGAAGGAGATTCTGAATCTCATCTTCACTAAAACCCAGAAGTTCGGGTACCTTGCTGTGGGGCAATTTCTCAACCCTAGGAACCAAAGGACGACTGGGGGCACGACTAGCAAGATATTCTCGCATGGCTGGCCCTACAGCATCGTCTCTCATTGCCTCAAAGGCTTCATCAAACTCCTCTTCCTTAATTTCTACTTCTGGTTCAGGAAGTATGAGACCAGGGATGGGTTCAGTAAGCCTAACCATCAACCTCCACCAGAAGGACAACAGAAGAGAACCAAAAAGAAACAAGGAAAGCAAAGAAGAAGCAACACTATACCTGTAATCGCAGAAAAGGAGAAGAAAGAAGACCGGCACAATCACGCTAGACCGAGTAGGAAATAAGCAGGAAGAAGGAGAGCACAACAATATGGTTCGCGTAAAGAAGGACCCAAACGAAGGGTCTCCCCCTTTTTTAAAGAAAAAGGGGTCATGCACGTGCACGTGCAAGCTCCCCTCACTCAACCATTGATGACAGTCATCACACAATGGGCGGTGAGATGAAGGACATAACGACGAATGAAGAGGACATGTCACTTATCAAAGGGTCATTTCGTTCGTACACGTGTAAACCCTCACCACTCAACCGTGAGATGACACTCTCATCGTGCAATGGGCGGTTGGGATGAGGGGGTAAAGGGTCATTTCAAGAAAACACGTCACCCATCACTTCGCATTAATGCGCCATAAATAATGACGTTTAGATACTTGCAAATGGTAATGATGGACGCAGCTCATCATGACAACTCCTCGAAAAATGAAAAGCCTCCTAAGAGTGCCAGAAGTGGCAGCCTTTTCACTTACATCACCAACCAATCACTGTCACCAAGAAGAAGTTACAACTGTCACCAAAAGGAATCGCTCGCGCTCAAGTGTTTCACATCGCCAAACAAGGCGTTGTCAAATCCTACTTACCTTGGCATCAACCTATGCTTGTTACCAGGCTGAGGGGCTCCTGGCGCCACGGCGATAAGAGGCTTTGTAGTAATTTCACTCTTGGAGGACGCCCAATTAGAACGCCAGTCATTCCAGAAGAATGAAAACCTAAAATACCCTTGGAAGAGCTGAAGACAAACTGTCACTCGTCCAACACCAGTCCAGAGAACGCCCCCGCACCAGATTTGATAGACCCCAAGATCTTTCAGTAGGCGACACCACCTATATGTCGAACGACAAAGCCTATCAATCAAGGTGATCGCCCTAAAGGTAACACCCAAAGCCTTTAACTTGGCACCATCCTACGGTTGCTGTCAAGCTGGGGGGGCTCCTGTTTCGGATGGCCCAAGCACTGGAGCGGCCCAGCTGCTCAGGCCCAATCCTCAGCCTTGTTCCGCGTCAGCTCTTAGGGCTGACGTGGACCCTCACGACCTCCAAGACTGCAGCACGTCCAAGAGATGCACCAAAATGTCCCACCTTGGGACATTAACCACAAAAGGCAATCGCCATAAGCACCGCAAAAGGAATCTACCCCTTTGCTCAGTGCTAACATCGCCTGATGCAGTGGGTGCAGCGCTGCCATTGTGGCAGCGCCTACCGCGCCTAACACTACCATCAAGGGAGCGCATCCCAAGGAGGGTTGACCCCCACCTCACCAACCCATACCATTTTCCTTATAAATAGCCCTCATGGGCACGGCAAAATCTTATCGTTTATGTACTGTTATTATGCCCGTTTATCTTAAGCCATATACTTGTTATCCACCATTGATATTTGCTTGCTTATACTTGGAGCAATACCCTCTAGCCTGGTCATTACCTCAGCTAGGGGTACCATCCATACAGTAACATTATCCTCAAAGGGTACATAGAAGGCTTATAGATTCCAACGGTACAGGTCGAAATTGCAAATTGATTGCAATCAATTTGCACAAACGGTGTAGCAACGCTGAAACGCGTAAAGCTACAGTATGAATAACAAATCCTTCGGCCTATAATTATAAGGCTAAGGTCTGATAATATAAGGCCTGATTGAATTTTAATACTATCTAGCGTTTGACACGGTATTGTATAAAATAAAATATTGTATAAAATAATATCATCTAATATTTGGTAATGCACTGTATAATACTATATAGGATAAAAATAAATATTTTTAATAAAAATATCCTTTAATAAAGAATTTATATAATTCTTCAAAAAATGTCATATGATATTAATTTTTATAAAAATTTATTGATCATTGTGTCGAAAATATAAATTATTTTTTATAAAATTAAAAATATTCAATATTTTAAAAATTAATATATGGAAAATTAATTTTTATTTTAATAAATTAATATTAAAATAATATATTAATTTTTGAGAATTACATTGGTCAAAAATGTTAATACATCAATCTTTTATCAGGCCTTATCCCTCACCTTTGGCCGGATTAAGTTATAAATCGTTTTGATGTATTAAGGAATTATGCTGTATAAGCTTATACTATACGATGGTCACACCAAACAACTGAAAATGTGATAACATATAGTATAAGCTTATACTATCATTCTTTATACGTCATATCAAACAGGCCCTAACTCATGTCTTGTTGTTTTAAGCATCCCCAAATTTCAAAATCTCAAGTTCAAGAGTTTTTCTTGATATCCCAATTTAGTGAGAAAAAACCAGATATCTCGAGCGTTATTTCCAATAATGTGTATTTTTTAATATAAGAGAAATTAATCTATAAATATTTATTCTAACAAATATGTTAGGAGAGAGATTATAATTTCTTTCCTATAATAAAAATCTTCCTTGATTTTATTCGTTGTTTTTCTCAATTGAGTCTTTTATGTAAATCTTGCGTATCATTTCAATTGATGTACTTATCTATCTCTTGATTGATGAAATTAAAATAAAATTAATTGCATCGTTAATATCTAAAAAAGTGAATGATTATTTAATTAATCACAATTATATAACACGGAAGGAAAGGCTCTTAATGAATTTACACTCACTTGGTTGATTGATATAATTATTAATGTTTTAAAATTTTGATTTTTTTTAGCTCTATTTTAACTGCTTGTGTTAAATAACATTATCCACAAGTTAAAGTTAATCCAAACATTAAATTACTCCAACATGTTCATAATGAAAAATTATCTTACATGGTTTATTGGGCTCTACGAATCATATGAAATGAGTGACAGAAGTGGATGATGATAAAGAACAAAGCACGTGCACTTCAAATTTTGTCTTCGTTATAAGTGTATTGGGGCAATTTGGACCGCTCAACAGCATATTTGAGTAAATAAATATGTCCAATAGTTTTTTACTTAAATATATGAATCCGATTAATTTGTTATGTTATTATTTTTATGGAATTGATATTTCTTATATTATAAAAGATAATTTTATCTCCTATACACACATAAAATTATGTGGAAAAATATAAATCTTACAAACTTTTATATATGTAAAAAAATAAAATTTATCCCCTATGTGAAAAATATTATTCTCTATTTTTATATATGAAAATGATACTGTTATTATAGTATCAACTGTCATAATGACCAACAAAAATGATAACGCTATCGGTTGTTGTCAGTGATTCATATTCGATGACGCTACTGTGATTTGATTTGTTTGACTTACTAGTCACTTGGTCAGTAGAAATTCAGATAAGACCCTCGAAATCCTTTTTAATTTGTTGCCTCTTTTTGTTACACGTAGCTTAATATTAATCACAATGTGTGTTAATTTTTTTTTGCCACTTTATCATTTAATTTTGTGTTGGGTACATTATCCAAAGAGTTTGATATTGTGGTTAAACTTTTTTTTTTTTGGCTAGGTTGTAGTTAAACTTTTAAAATAGTGCAAGAACACATGATTAAATGAACTTGTAACAAAACTTTTGAAAACTGATCCCTGGCATATCAAATAAGAGTATATATTAATAAGAGTTCGTTTTTTCTGTCGTCATTACTGATAAGTAATCTGCAGTGTGTCCAATACAATGTTGTTTGAGATGAAAATTATAATATTTTTGTAATTTTAATTTATTTCAGAGTTATAATAATCTTTATATTTTAATTTATTGAGGAAATAAATACAAATAAGTTATCTCTGGAGAAACATTTTTCTATTAACTAAATTCTCATAATGATTTTTGAGGTTCTCCCCAGTTAATTTGTCATATACTTTCTTATAAGTATCACTCACGAAAACAAGAATTGATTCAAGTGCTGAGGAGAGCAACCATGTCAGACAGAAAAGTTATCCTAACCATGGTAGATGAATCAAGGGCAAGTCCAGGATCTATCCTTGAAGTTTTACTACAAAGTTTCAAATCTGGTGAAGGTACCCAAAGATTGTTGAATCACTTGGTGATCATAACCATGGACCCCCAAGCTTTTGAGTATTGCAGGGCCTTGCATCCCCTTTGCACATTATTTTACCACCAAAAGACAATCCAACACAACCCAGGATCATAATGCATATAGTTGGAGAAGAAACAATGTTTTGTTAGAAGTGGTTGAATTGGGTTATAACATAATTTTCACGGTGAGGGTTCTGATTCTGATCAGCTTGAATTAGAAAATGATGGATGAAGGGTTATTAATATTAATCAACTTTGAATTTCATGTGACTTTTTGTTTTGTAGGACGCGGATGTATTGTGGCTTAGAAGTCCATTTTTACACTTCAATCCAGTGTATGAACTCACAATTTCATGTAATTTCTCAAGTGATGGACAAAGTGGAGGTTACATGCATGATGGGGGAATCTTCTACTTGAAGGCAAATATCATATCGTTTGAATTCTTCAAGTACTGGAAATTAACCAATATTCTGTATCCAAACTCTCTTGATGAAGATTCCTTATGTACAACTATAATGCAAAGTGAAGATGTTAAAGCTCTTGGCTTCCGTGTTAAGCTTGTAAATTCAACTTATTTTGGTGGATTTTGTCAGCTAAATAAGGATATGTTGAGGGAGGCTTATACCATCCATGCCAACTGTTGCAATGACCTCAGAAGCAAAGTTCATGACATGAGGATTGTTCTTGATGATTGGATCCGCTTTAGAAACCGTGTATCAGGGGACAATGCTTCGGACAAAATGGCTTTGAGGTGGCCACAGAAGTGCTTGAGATGAAAATATACTTAGAACCACATATAGTTCTCAAGTGTCTAGAAAGAATTAATATTTTAAAAAGCATAAAAAAACCATTTATCAATTTTGTTTGGTTTAGACAATTTTTCTTTGCATTTGGTGATAGAAGTGATGAAATCTCCCACCTTATCAATGTACTCTCCATAAGTCTGAACTTGAGGCTGATTCAGAACTACCTGATGATCCTACTTCTTCCAAATTTTCTTCCCTTAAGCACAGCTACATAGCAGTTAAAACTAACCTATAGGCTCAAGCTATTAACATAACAATTTTCTTCCTTTCCAATTAAAAAGCATATTGTTTCCTCTGAAACCCAAACATATTTTCACACCACCTGCCTTGGTTCTTCATGAATCATGACTAAGCTTTTTGGTCACTGACAAACAACCTAGATGCTGATAATAACTCACTATGTCCTAGCTTGAATACCCTGTGTCTCACCCTTATATCATTCAGTCTAGTTCCAATGAAGTCAAGGATTTCAGTAACTCCATAGGAGAAGAAACCTAAGTTCCCAATAATTAGTGTTGAATGATAGTATGATCAGTTAATTAACCCCGTTCTGAATAACTTCAGTATATGTCCAGCTCATGTTGATGAAAAAGCCAAGCATGGAGAGAAACCATAGACATAAAAAGAAATTAAAAAAATAAAATAAAAGGCTGAGGAGTTAATCACTAAAACAAACAAACAGCATTCACAATTACAGCCACAGGCACGGATATACTCCAAAGTCCAAACAAAAGCAAAATTCAAAACAATTGGCTTTTCTAATTTCCATCGCCTTTGAACAGGTTACCCTCTCTCCTTTTGAAGATGCTTCACTAGTGAATTCAATACCAAGAATAATTCACTGTCATAGAAGAGACATTTTCTCCTAACACAAATTACCCTACTAAGCAACTCTTACTTATTTTTCTTATCTGACAAGAAACTTTTACATGACTGGTAAATTCAACATCATAAAGGGATTCTAAATTGAGGCAAGAGGAGAGAAAAGCAAAAACAAAAACAGGACAGCAGCAAAGATTTTAGCAAATCAAGGGCGGAACAAAATTTTGATGCACAAATGAACAAATTCCATAATATCAAATGAAATGTAAATTGAACAATACACTTATTGTGTCCAAAAAACTAATTTTACTTAACCAAACTTACAAGCAGAAAAAATCTCTCACAGCAAAATGTGAAGAATCGTACAGAATGTAGGGCATCATTTTAGTCAAATGTTTAAACTGTCTCCTTCAGGCATATCCCAGTTATCAACATCGTCTTCCTTCTTGGTTGTTGGAACATCTTGCTTGTTCTGCATTGGAGATCTCAACTGAGGGCGCCTGAAAATAATTTAAGCCAGACAAGTGTCAAATAATCTTTGTCAAGGGAACTATCTAATCTCAGAACACATAAGACAATATAACTTTGAAACTAAATAAATTCGCATCATGCTTTTAGATAATATAATACCATAGATTTGATAAAAAGTAAAATTAATTACTTAATTTCAAAAAGAGCATATAAAAACATGGTCTCGAATTTAAAGTTGTAACATATGGTGGGGGGCACTTTCATAGTATCATCCCATTATAACCAAGATTCAATTACAGTCATGACTACTATCTTATGTGCAATACCCTTATAAAAATAAAAACCTTAAAGTATTAAAGTTACTCTCATAACTCAAAACAAGAGAAACATAAGAATTATTGGTCATGTTTCACAAAAACCACTTATCTTACTGAACTAAAGGCTATTTAATTAGTGTCAGGTAACCAAAAGAAAAGGGATGAATGAGTAGCCTCCAATTTATTATGTATTAAAAGTTAAAATGAGCATGAAACTAATTTAAAAATAACCAAAAGATGTGAGAAGTGTAACTAAAGTATTTTCTTACTACCAGTAATATTCTCATATTTTGCAGGTATTTTCAGTTTAATAAAAAGGTAAATTAGAGAGCTCAAATTGTAAAGCTCAAGTGGATTTGTTTTGAATTTTTGAATCATATAAATTAGGGATGTGTATGGTTTGGTTATTGTCAAAAACCAAACCAAACCTTTTTAAACGGTTTGGATTTTAAACCGAACCATTTTTATTTTAAAAACCGATTTTTAATTTGTCCAAACCGGTTTTAAAACCGGTAAAACCGGTTATGAACCATAAACCATTTTTTAACAAATTCAAAATCGATTTTTGATGGATTGTACTATTTTTATAAGTAATCGTTTGTTTCTCCCGGTTATAGGTAGTTGACCAACTATTTCTTGCAAGAATCTTTATTGTTTTGGAACTCTCAGGACGAAATGATTCTTATAGAAATTGTTCACGTTGTTTTTACAAAAACATATATGTAAACAAATTGGACGAAAATTTTTTTTTGTCGAATTTTTTTACGAAATATAAATTTCGTCAAAATATTTCACAAAAAAACATATTCATCGAAATTTCTGACGAAAAAATATTTCTATCAAAATTTTTCTCGTAATACATTTCCTTCGAAAAAATTTTGACGGAAATTTTTTTTATCAAAATTGTTTACAGAATTCAAATTTCGTCAAAAATTTTCGACAGAAACATTTTCGTTAAACTTTTTGACAAAAAAATTTCCGTCGAAATTTTTAATGAAACACATTTCCATCGAAAATTTTCGTTGAAAATATTTTCGTCAAGTTTTTTGATAAAAAACATTTCCATCAAAATTTTCAATAGAGCATATTTCTATGAAAAATTTGCGTAAAAATTTTATGACCAACAATATTTCGATAAACATTTTTGACAAAAATGTTTTTCGTCAAAATGTTTTATAAAAATATTTTTCGTCAAAAAAATTGAGGGAAATGATTGTAGGGAATTTAGATTCCGTAAAGAACTTTGACAAAAAAAATTTCTGTCGAAATTTTTTATAGAAATATTTTCCAACAAAAAATTTTTTTGAAATATTTTTCGTCAAAATTTTTTTCGTAAATATTTTTCGTCAAAATTTTTGCTGTAAATGTGTTTTGTTGGAAATATTTTTCGTCGAAAATTTGGACGGAAATTTTTTCCGTAAAAAAATTTGACATAATTATTTTCTGTCAATATTTTTTATGAAAATGTGTTCCGTCAAATTTTTATACACAATCATTTTTCGTTGAAAAGTTTAACAGAATTGTTTTTGTCGAAAGTTCCGACAGAATTTAGATTCTATCAAGAATTTTGATTGAAATATTTTTTCCCTAAAAAATTTATGTCAGTGATTATGACAAAATCTTGTTCCGTCTTTAGTTTCTATGAAATTTTTGTCGTCTCTATTTTCTAAGTAATATGATTTTTGTCAAAAATTTTGACGGAATATTTTTCTTAGATAAATTTTGTTAGTATTGCTTACCAAAAAAAAATGTGTTAGTATTTGAGACATATTTATGTAATTTTCATATTTTGTTAGTATTGCTTACCAAATTTTGTTAGTATTTGATTCATATTTATGTAATTTTCATATTTTAATGTTAAGGATAAAAGATAATACTTATTTGTTCTTTAATTTTAAAATAGTTTGGTTATGGATAACCATGGATAACCAATTATTTTTATGGTTTGGTAAATAACCAGTTTATAAAACAAAATGCAGTTTCATATGAAACCGGTTTTTAAAAATAACCGGTTTTTAAGATGTGGAGCAGTTTGGTTATGGATCGGTTTGGTTCTTTTGCACATCCCTACATATAATTGATTGAATATCTTATTGAATACTCTATTGAATATTTTTAAGGAAAGTTTTCCTACAAATATAAAAGGAAAGATTTTAAGGATTTGATTGGGAGGTTCTAAGAAAACTTTTTCCTCAATATAAAGATGAAAGTTTGGAAGCAAAATTGATTCTTGCACATTCTGAAGAAAAGGAACGCAGAGACCAGAGGAAGAATCCTATTTTTTAGAGCTCAAGATGAAGATTGAAGGAAGATCAAAGCTTTGCAGTGGCGATCAACCATCATGCTTTCCTTATTTGCATCATCTATTTTAATTTTTTTCTCGTTTTGTTTAAGCCAGATATGTCTGGCTAATTTCCTAAGTCCAGTATGATAGGGGGTATAAAAGGATGCACTCTCTTTGGGATCACTTGCTGGTTCATTTGGAGAGAAAGAAATAGTTTAGTTTTTGAAAACAAGAGCTCCACAGTGGAAGGGACGGTCAGAGCAGCTCGTACATACCTGCTGAATTTTGTAGATGCAAAAGAGTTGCTCAAGGGTACTGGTCTTCAGGTCCAGCCTCGGGTTGAGAGGTTTATTCATTGGCATCCTCCTCCTTCTGGGTCCATAAAGGTTAATACTGATGGGTCTGCACTGAGAGGTAATAGGCAGAGTGACTGTGGGGGGGTCTTAAGGGACGATTCGGGTCACTGGATACTGGGATTTGCAAGGAATCTGGGAGCTGGAAGTTCTATTAAGGCAGAGCTCTGGGGTATTGGGGCTTCAAACTTCTTGGAACAAGGGATTCAGAAGAGTGATTATTGAAGGAGATTTCAAAGTTGCACTGGATATGATCACAGCTGGATGCCCCCCATGTCATCCTCATGCTGGCCTAATTAGGAAGATTATACAGATGACTAATTTAGATTGGCAAATTAATTTTGTTCATACTTTTAGGGAAGGAAATGGTGTTGCCGATTGGCTTGTGGGTTTTTCTCATACATTAGGATGAGAGACTGTTTTGTTAGAGGCTCCTCCTCAAGGGTGTATTGGGGTTTGGGAGAATGACTTTAGGGGCGTTTCTTGGCCCCGTTTGATTAGAGATTTGTAGTTTTGCTTTCCACATTTATACAAAAAAAGGGATATGAATCCGACATGAATCCTTGTTTTGGTTTAATTTCTTTTCAATAATAATCTGTCTCAAGTTATTTGTGTTTACTTTGATTTATATTTTTAAATTCTTGTATACCTGATCAATCATATAGGAATAAAGAGGATTAGGATTCACAATAGACATATTGAGATTTTAATCTAGACGGGGGT